GGCTCATCCAGAGCACTTTGATTGGCTGAAAGAAACCGTCAGTTTGTTTCCAGGTAAGAGCGGCGAGTCGGTCGGGCAGCGCTGCAAAAAAAAAATAAAAAACTACATCTGTAAGAGAAACTGTAAAAATCTGGCAGCAAGAGGGTCAGAAAGCTAGTGGACAGTGTGATGCTGAAAAACTGTTAAAAATAGAATAAAAACGGTGGATATACCAGCAAATATCTGTCAAATAAAGATATGTTAGCAGCTTTAACTACAGTGAGTGGTTAGCACCGTCGCCTCACAGCTAGATGGTCGCCGGTTCGCCCGGGATCTTTCTGTGTGGAGTCTCCATGTTCTCCCCGTGCAGCGTGGGTTCTGTCCGGGTTCTCCAGCTTCCTCCCACACAGTCCAAAAACATGTTGAGGTTAATTGGTGATTGTAAATTGTCCGTAGCTGTGAATGTGAGTGTGCTTGGTTGTCTGTCTCTAAGTGTAGCCTGTGATAGACTGGTTACCTGTCCAGGTGAACCTGCCTTCACCCTGAGTCAGCATTTTTTTTTTTTTACAGTCAGCATATACATGAATACTTTTTTCTTTGATTTTACTTGACATTATCTGCAGATAGATTTGAACAAAAACTCTAAAATAACATTCACTGTTTTTCTAGTATTTTGTATTCATGTCAGTAAATTAAATTAATAACACTCTTGGTCTGTTTTTTGATGGTCAGTATGGTTTTGATGGAAAACTAAACAAATTCATTTTTTACAGTGTAAATGTGTAGAAAGTCTTTTACTTTTTATTCCTTAAAACCTTGGATTTGCTAAACTTACTGTTTATTCGTCATGTAACACTTCGACTCACAAGTCTTGTTTTGAAAATTCTCTCTGTGTCAGTGTTTCCTGTAAAGCATCAAATCACAAAGTCAAACTCCTCGTATGTGAAAACCTCAGACACAGTGGAATGCTGTGAAAACTGAAAATATCTGTAAAATCATGATAATTTTTAGCCGATTTAAACACAGGAAGACGGTTTAACTTTCAGGTCACATATTGTTGAAAGATAGATTACTATTTGTAAAAATACAGATTGTTGATGTGGACTTTACAGTTTTTACGCTTTCAATGTGTCAATTCTTTTTTTTCTGTGATTTTATGAGATATTATCTGTAATTTAACTAAAGAGGGAAAATTTGTAAAATTACAATTTATAAAATATTTACAATTTAAAAAAAAAAAATCCTTAATATATGGAAATTTATTTTTAAAAAGTAGGAAATATCTGTAAAATTATCATATGTTCTGCTGATTTAAATTAAGTAAAACATTTTATAGTCGAGCAAATTATTAGACATTATTTACAGTTTTGGTGTGTTTTTTCCAGTCATGTGTTAATAAATACCTTTTCTTCTGTAATTTTTACAGATATTATCTACAATTTGAGAAAACAGGAAAAAATAATAACTTCAAATAATCTTTGGTACTTAAAAAAAAAAAAACTTATTATATATTTTTTTTACTAAAATAGCAGCAAATGTAAAAAATTATTTTAAAAAAAATCCTTAATATCACAATTTTTACTTTGAAATATTGTAAATATCTGTAAAATAACAATATTTTCTTCTGATTTAAATACAGTGAAAAATGTCTCACAGTCAAACACTGTAAAAGATCAAATTACATCTATAAAAACACATTTATTTACCTTTATTCACCATNCATCCAGAGCACTTTGATTGGCTGAAAGAAACCGTCAGTTTGTTTCCAGGTAAGAGCGGCGACTCGGTCGGGCAGCGCTGCAAAAAAAAAAAAACTACATCTGTAAGAGAAACTGTGAAAATCTGGCAGCAAGAGTCAGAAAGCTAGTGGACAGTGTGATGCTGAAAAACAGTTAAAAATAGAATAAAAACGGTGGATAGACCAGCAAATATCTGTCAAATAAAGATATGTTAGCAGATTTAACTACAGTGAGTCGACATAATTCTATGGCCACACATTGTAAAAGAGGGGCTGCAGGGTGGAGCAGTGGTTAGCACTGTTGCCTCGCAGCAAGAAGGTCGCCGGTTCGCGTCCCAGTGAGGACACCCGGGATCTTTCTGCATGGATGTTCTCCATGTTCTCCCCGTGCAGCGTGGGTTCTCTCCGGGTTCTCCGTCCAAAAACATGTTGAGGTTAATTGGTGATTCTAAATTGTCTGTAGGTGTGAGTGTGAGTGTGCTTGGTTGTCTGTCTCTAAGTGTAGCCCTGTGATAGACTGGTTACCTGTCCAGGTGAACCTGCCTTCACCCTGAGTTAGCTGGGATAGACTCCAGCCCCCCATGACCCTCGTGAGGATTAAGCGGTGTGTATAGATAATGGACGGATGGATGGAATATGGTTTTGATGTAAAACTGAACAAATTCATTTTTTACAGTGTAAATGTGTGGAAATTCTTTTACTTTTTATTCCTTAAAACCTCAGACACAGTGGAATGCTGTGAAAACTGAACAAATCTTTAAAATAATGATAATTTTTAGCTGATTTAAACACAGGGAGACGGTTTAACTTTCAGGTCACACGTTGTTAAAGAACAGATTACTATTTGTAAAAATACAGATTTTTGATGTGGACTTTACAGTTTTTACCTGTTTCAATGTGTAAATTCTTTTTTTCCTGTGATTTTATGAGATATTATCTGTAATTTAACAAAAGAGGGAAAATTGGTAAAATTACAAAGTAAAATTAAAAAGTAAAATCATCATATTTTCTGTTGATTTAAATTGAGTAAAATTTTTTATAGTTGAGCAAATGACCATTTGTAGAAATTATTAGACATTATTTACAGTTTTAGTGTTTTTTCCAGTCATGTGTTAATAAATACCTTTTTTTCTGTAATTTTTATAGATATTATCTACAATTTGACGAAACAGGAAAAAATAGTAACTTAAAATAATTTTTGGTACTTTAAAAAAAAAAACATATATTTTCTTTTACTAAAATAGCAGCAAATGTAAAAATGTATATTTTTAAATCCTTAATATCACAATTTTTACTTTTAAATATTGGCAAATATCTGTAAAAAAAAAAAAATCTGCTGATTTAAATACAGTGAAAAATGTCTCACAGTCAAACACTGTAAAAGATCAAATTACATCTATAAAAATACATTTATTTACCTTTATTCACCATTTGGAGCTGCTGTCTGATGGTCAACGTGTAAATTAAAACTTTTTTTCTGTGATTTTACTTTAATCTTTAAATTTACAAAACAGTTAAAATCTCTAAAATAACACTGAATTGTTAAAAAAGACAAACAGAAATCAAGATCTAGCATGATAACTCACAGACTTACCACACTGATCATCCCGAGTCTTTAAACGTGATTTAAACGAGGGACGTTCCAAACTTCCTGTGAACGATGAAGAAGCCTCTGGATGGGCTGAAGCTGTTTGCTGCTCTGTGGGTGCGTCTGTAGGAAATGCAAGGTGGAAGCTCGGCTGTGCGAACGGTGTTTGAGCCAATTAAAGCATGTGAAGCTAACGAACGGGGCCTGCAGAGAACAAGTGGATGCAGATGGGAGAGAATTGAACTACAGACAAAAAAATCGGTCTGAGTTTGTGGAGTTTGTGTCGCTCGGTGCAGAAAAAGCAGAAACGAGGCAGCGAGCGTTGGCTTCTGACACATTTGACCTTTTAATTAAATTAGGGATTCCTCCTCTGGCCTGCGGCGGCGCGTCGGCCCTCCCTCCACGTGTTCATCAGCAGAAACGTGTCCTTTGCATGTTGCGTTTTAAATCATTTATGAATTTGCATATTTGAGCCGCGTCTCAATCCAAAATTACAATCCGAGGGATGTGAAGTCGCCGCGGATTCGCCGCAGAGCGTTCGCGTGCCCTCGCCGGCTAAAAATAGCCAATTTTAAAGACAACACAAATAGCACACGAGGCCTTTATTCCCCTGCAGAATGCGCGTTGAGGTGTCGAAGGGGAAATGCCTGTGGAGGCTCAGATGGTGACAGATGGTTCGGAGACAAATCAGCCTGGGAGTCAGGATCTCTGCCCCGGGACCAGCAGCCCCTTTAAGTCCGTTTGTGTCGTTGTGTACACAGTGTGTGTGTGTGTGTGTGTGTGCGTCCTGTAAGCCCCTTTTTGTGTGTATTTCCAGGTTAAGCTGCAGCATCTCTCTGTTTTGTGTAGATGTTACGCAACGGCCTCGCCGAAGCCGCGCGCTGGATGTGACAGCGACGTCAAAATATTTTGCTTTCACGTATTTACAGGCTTGTGTGCTCAACGGTACGCGTTTTTTAGTTATTTGCGCTTCATTTAGCTCCTGCAGCTGCGATTTAAATACGACAAATCTCTCCTCGTAGAGGCTCCATGTGCTGAAGGCTCAGGAAGATCCGCCCTGCTCACATTCCTGAAGTTTTTATGGCGTAAAATCTAGATATTTATGGAGATATTTGTGAAGTTGGAGCTCCGTTTAGGCACATGTTTGCACCTTGAAATGTAAAGTTTAAATGAGAATATCTGAGGAACTGTTGAAGATAAAGGCCTGAAACTTCTCCTGTTATTTATCATCATGTCATTGATTTAGAATCTGCAATATTGGACAAATGGATCAATTATTTGTGACTATGGGTGAGTTGAAATGGGACGAAAATGGTTCAGAAAATAGTTGATGTTTAACGTGTGCTCAGAGATGAGACTTATCAACTCACCTGTACTCAGATGATTTAATCTACTTGTCTAATATCACAGAGTGTGAATCAACACCAGAATGAGAAATAACAGAGAAAAATTCAGGCTTTGAACTTAAGGAGTTCAAACATGGACTCGTATTTTAACGTAGATCGACGGGAAAAAACGGTTTATATCAGAAAGTTTTTGATGTGTCGATCTAAATGTTCACAGATGCCTTTTTAAATATCCCGTTTATGATGAAAACGTTTTAGTCGTTCTATAGCTTCTACCTGAACGACACAGTTTAGAGCTACTAGAGTTATATTCCTCTGCTCTAGAAACATGTGTTGAACGTGTCTTCTAGCAACAACCTGCTCCTCTGTTCACCATGTCTGCAGCCACATTTATTTTACTGATCCAGAGTGGTTGTTTTCTTCTTGCTCTGTGCAAACACAGCCTGCAGTTTATTTGAAAATCCCTGAATTTTCATTTTCACTCATTGTTTCTCACTTTTAGATGAAAACAAATAAAGAATCTGTCTTTTTGGCAGATCTTTAAATGATGCATGCAGAACAAACGGATGTTGATGAATGACTTTAAGCTCAGGTTTGGTTTCGTGAAGCACACACGATGTGTTCAAGGAGCGTCAGAAAGTTGGAAATCTGAAACCTTTCAGACCTGTTGGCAGGTTTATTTTTTATAAAGACCTATTAAAATAGCCACTAACTTACTCTGACACTGACTTATTTCCATCATCTATGAATCAAATGTGTGATTTTCGAGGAAAAAAAGTCCAAATTGTTTGAATATTTTCTGCTCTCTTTGCCTGTAAACTGAATTTCTTCGGGTTGTGGACAAAACAAGACATCTGTCGTCTTGTGCTTTGGGAAAAACTGACTATTTTTTTGACATTTACGGACCAAACATTTTCATTTTCATCCACTTTGTTCATTCATCACTCAGACGCTGTTGGGTCAAGTTACTGCTGCTGTAATCTGAGCACATCCTGCTGCTGCTGCTCCAACAGTGAAGAAGTCACAACGCGAGCTTCGTTAGCAGCTCAGGTGGACTCCAGGTCGACCGCTCACAGCTCCAGGTTTACTCTCTTTAGTGTCACCATTGCTCTCCGCTAGAATAACCTCGCAGGCATGAGGCTGGAACTCCTCAAAGAGCCCATCGGTTCCAGCCGGAGAGGAGCTCTTGTGTCGCTGCCTGGAGGAGGTGATTCCCTCAAAGCAGCTGCTCAGAGCTCTGCAGGTCCAAACATGCGTCTCCGTCTGGACTACACGCGCTCAGCAGCGTGTTTGTGTCTCCTCGAGCTCGGACTAGACGTCTTAAGCCCCGCTGGCCTTCAATAATCTCATTCCCGAGAAGCGCCATGTAGGTCAGGGGTTTCCGTCCTCACCGGCAGCTCAGAGACCACAGGAGGAGGAGGAGGAGGAGGAGGAGGAGGAGGAGGTGCTGAAATCAATACATGATAAACACCCTCCTGTTTAGATACATTTACTGTTATTGTGTTTAATGCTAAAAATCAACAGCAGCAGAAATAAAACTACACATCATTTCTAAAAAAATATCTACAAACAATCTGTATTTTTCTAAATGCGACGTCCTTTTTGACTGTTTGACTGTAAATTTACACATTTTTTA